AACTCCACACAGAAACGCCAACTGAGCTGAGGTTCAAACCAGCGACCTTCTTGCTGTGAGGCGACAGCACTACCTACTGCGCCACTGCGTCACCTGAATTTAAACAAGCAAATCATATTGAACAGTACTGCTTTCATTGCAGATATCCTGATCCAGATATCCTCAATGCTCAGTGAACATTCTCTGAAAAACAATGCTCAGTCAGATATTCTGCTTTGAAAATGTCTTCTCTTCATGTTATTAGCAAGCTGCTAATATCAGCGTGTGCTTGTGTGTTTTCAGGTGGACTATGTGGCCACTGATGGATTCAGGAGGAGTGAAAACGGGACCATGAGGAGCCCCGGGGTGAGTGTCAACACTGACTGACAGAAGCTAATCCTACATCATTCTGCTGACACATCAGGAAATACAGACTCTTCACAAAACTACAACACACACCAAAGACGGTTACAATCAGTGTTGTAAAGTAACTAATTATAAATACTTAAATGACTGTAATTGAGTAGTTATTCTCAGACTTTGTAATTTACTAAGTAGTTTTAATAATGTGTACTTTTACTTTTTCTTGAGAACATTTTTAGTGCAGTAATTCAATACTTTTACTCCACTACTTTCCTTCAACCTGCAGTCACGACTTTATTTTTTCTTGTCTACGGGGATTAGAAAAATCTGTCCAATCAAATCACACACAGTTCACTCTTGAAACCTTTATAAGTTTCTTTCTTCCATTAAACACAGAAGAAGATATTTTGAAGAAGGCTGAAAAGCGGTAACCATTGACTTCAATTTGTTTTCCCTACTATGGAAGTCAATGGTTACCGGTTCTCAACTTTCTTTGAAATATCTCCTTGAATGTTCGGTAGGAAAAAAGCAAACTCATAATACATGAAGGAGAGTAAATAGTGAACAAACTTTCATTTTTGGGGTGAGCTATGCCTTTATGTTTGTTTATATGCTGAATGGTGCAGTACTCCAGACAGCAGCGTAATACATTCCACCATTCTCCTCATTTAATCATCACACATGGGAATGTAAAGGTTGAATTGGCTGTAGATCCATCTGATTTGAACTTTTACTCATTACTCCTACTAGCAGTGTTGAAGTGAAGAAGTCTTGGGGGAAATAGATGATTTACAGACAGTACATCAGAAAGATCTGGCATCAGGAGTGTTGAGACATGTTAAGTGTTCATGATCGCTTCCTTTTAAATGCGAAGGACTTTTCTCTGGAACAGGAATATTTCCCCGGAGTTTTAAGGCAGATGTTGCATATTAGCATACACATGAGTTTGTGAGAATTTGCACACATTATATAAAATAGATGTGAGGTGCGATGAGTTTCTGTTGGCATTAATGCAGATGTGAATGGCTTTGGTTTGATTATAAGGTGTAGGTGAGCCTTTACACCAGTGGTCACCAAACTTGTTCCTGGAGGGTCGTGCCCTACAGATTTTAGCTCCAACCCTAATCAAACACACCTGAACAAGCTAATCAAGCTCTTACTAGGTGTACTTGAAACATCCAGGCAGGTGTGTTGAGGCAAGTTGGAGCTCAACCCTGCAGGGACACCGGCCCTCCAGGACCGAGATTGGTGACCCCTGCCTTATACTATATTGTTCTGACTATGCAAGACTATACTATAATTTCCCATTTCTGTGTGCGATGCATTGATAAACAGTGCAGAATAAAACTCATTTGAATTGATTTGACAGAGTTGCTAAAGGAATGTGTGTCTGTATGTAAACCTGTGCATTTGTTTACAGCAATACAACATGGCATCACAACCAGCGCCGGGTGTAATTAATAAGCATTTATTCATTCACTCCTTCATTTTCCCTTGGTTTAGTCCCTTTATTCATCACAGCGGAATGAACCGCCAACTCTTTCAGCATACGTTTTACACAGCGGATGTCCTTTCAGGTGCAACCCAACACTGGGAAACACCCATACACATTCATACAGCCAGTGTAGTTCATCAGTTCCTCTATAGCGCATGTGTTTGGACTGTGGGGGAAACCTGAGCACCCGGAGGAAACCCACACCAACATGGGGAGAACATGCAAACTCCACACAGAAACACCAACTGACCCAGCTGGGGCTCGAACCAGTGACCTTCTTGCTGTGAGAAGACAGTGCTAACCACTGAGCCACCTCGTCACCCCTTTTTTAATATAGATTTGAGTAATTAATTAATTCATTCATTTTCTTTTCGGCTTATTCCCTTTATTAATCAGGGGTTGCCACAGCGGAATGAACCAACTTATCCAGCATATGTTTTACGCAGTGGATGCCCTTCCAGCTGCATCCCATACACTGAGAAACACCCATACACACTCATTCAAACACGTACACTATGGACAATTTAGCCTACCCAATTCCCCTACCACATGTGTTTGGACTGTGGGAGAACCCATGCCAACACGGGAGAACATGCAAACTCCACACAGAAACACCAACTGACCCAGCCGAGGCTTGAATCAGTGACCTTCTAGCTGTAAAGTCACAGTGCTAACCACTGAGCCACCTCGTCGCTCCTCTCTCATATTGATTTGAGTAATATTATTGACTAATGTGCAGAAATAAATGAATAAACATTGCTTCATGGTTGAGTCTAACAGGATTCAAGAACAAGAACTGAACAATCAAATGTAAATGGTCAACACTGTATAAATAATAATTAAAAAATAGATTTCAGTCTTTAATATGGCGGCGTGTTGGCGCAGTGTGTAGCACATTCGCCTCACTGCAAGAAGGTTGATGGTTTGAGCTCCGGCTGGGTCAGTTGGCATTTCATGTGTAGAGTTTGCATGTTCTCCCTCTTTCCTCCAGGTGCTCTGGCTTCCCCTACAAATCCAAATACATGCAGTACAGGTAACCTGGGTAGGCTAAATTATCCATAGTGAATGAGTGCCTATAGATGTTTCCCAGTGATGGGTTGCAGCTGGAAGAGCATCCGCTGTGTAAAACAAATGCTGGATTAGTTGTCGGTTCATTCCACTGTGGCGACCCCAGATTAATAAAGGCACTAAATGAATAATCTTTAATATATAATCTAACCTTGGGATGTGACTATTGCAGGTGCACACATTGAGATATGAATATAGCCCTAGTTTGGGGGTGTCCAAACTCGGTCCTGGAGGGCCGGTGTCCTGGAGAGTTCAGCTCCACCCCTAATCAAACACACCTGAAGCAGCTAATCAAGCTCTTGCTAGATACTAGAAACTCCCTGGCAGGTGTGTTGGAGCAAGTTAAAGCTAAACTCAGCAGGACACCGGCCTCCAGGACCGAGTGTGAACACCCCTGCCCCAGTTGATTCTGAACATTGTTTCTTGGCAGTATAATTATATGCTTCTCCTTGCTCTTGATGCAGTGATTGATCTCTCTCTCTCTCTCTCTTGCAGTATAATCCTCAGTATTTCTCAGGGGCGTTTCAGGAGATGTCCAATGGCGGAGGAGTGATGAGTATGGTGAGAAACAAAACTTCACAGCCTCGTGATAGACATGCTGTTAGAAAAACAAAGACAGTGTGGGTTTTGCTGCAGGCGTAGATTAACATGAGTTTCCTGTTTTGAGCTAGAATTTATGCAAACATATGGGTCAAAGGTCACCAAAATAAAGGCGTTAAACCAATTTAAATGTATTATTAGTATGTAGGGTTATTTTCTGTTTTTGAGTGTGAGTTTGCAAGGTTTAATAGTAGTTTTTCTAAGCAAAAAATAAATAATAATAAATAATATTTAATAAAATGCCGTGCATATTTAAAACAAGAATTGTTTGATGATATATTAAAGGCCACATAGTTTACCCCTTTTTTATGATTTAACTTTAGTATTAAGGTTGTTCTGAGTGTGCCAGTTTAGGTTCAGTTCAACCCATAGTTCAGATGTTTTTATTATAATGTGTTCAAAAGTGTTGTTTTGGGGGCGTGTACACAGTTTGCTGTTAGGGGCGTGTAGCTTCACATGGAAATTAGTTTTGAAATTCCCGCCCAAAGTATCAAGGGGGCGGAGCTAAGAGCTCACCCACTCTGTGTTTGGCAACAAACAGGCAGACAGAGACGCTGCATGAGAGGAGCAGCATTCAGCCGGACATGTACGCCTCGGCCACAGACCAAGCAGAGAGTACACAATCATTTGTGTCTTTGTATAGTTTCTCAGCCAACTGTGTGCTAGTTTAAAGTGCCGAGCTTGTACACAGACTAATAACCACGCACACTGAATTAACTTTGACTGAGGCACCGGATGACCCGCGACACGGCACACCAGACGTTCAGATGGCACTCTGTGGTAGAGATCTGCGCTGGACTAAATATTGAATCCCGCCAGGTTCTAGCCTGAATCTGACCGCTCCCACTTATATTCAGCATTTGTCGTCCCGTTTCTCGTTAGCGGGAACGGGCGGGGGGGGAGAACAAAACCGAAAACCATCCAGCTATACAGAGTCCAGACAGCCTATAACAAGCTGTCTGTATAAACACACACACATAAGCACGCTCTCTTTCTCTCTCTCTCTCACACACACACACACACACACACACAGACAGCAGCACAAAAGTCTCTCTCATTCGCGCGCACACACAGCAACAAAGCGACACGCACATGAAGCAAAGCCGCTCGCACTTTACAGCTGCACCTAGATCACACTCACAGCTTCTGTGACCTCGAGAAATGCAAACGGCTGAAGTCTAAAGTAGACGCAAGGACTGTGTGTGTTTATATCGACCTAATATGACGGTCTATACACTATATTTATACACATGTCTGTCCAGACAACTTAAAAAGTAGATTTTTCACCATAGGTGCCCTTTAAAACACTTATTAAAATCACAATGCATCTCTAAAATACTCATTATTTGTTATTTTAAATCTTGATATTTCTTGCACTGTTCTTCAAGTCATCAGGTTTTACCCATTGATCAGCTAGATGAGTGTTTAATTATTAATTTACTTCAAATTAAGAACGATCACTTATTCTTTGATATGTTTAACAGTTTTTCTCAGCGGCTTTGGTGCATTTACACTATTGACATTTGCACAACAGTTGATGCATTTCTCAGAACAGTTAGTCATTTGAGCACATCACAGTAGCAGTTTCTCATTCCTTCCAACACATTGCGAATGCCTTTGGACATGCATCAACTGCTTTCACACAACTCTCTGCTGTTTATAACATTATCGTCTGCTCATGTCATGTCAGTCAAAATGAACTAGACTTGTGAATGCTGAATAGCATTAAACGAATAGTCACTCATTTCATTACTGGAGTTAAAATCTGTCAAATGTAAATTTTATTTAAAAATGTCAATCTTTTTTTTTAACTACAGCACCCCACTGTGCAATAAAGCTTGTTAGTATTTATGCCATTTAAAATATTATCTTGAAAGCTGAAGTAAATCTGTGTGAAGCATACAGTATATGCTGTGTATGTTTGATGTGGTAAAACAGTAATGTCCTGAAATATGACTTTTAAACCGCTGCTTTTATTCTATTTCTGATCACTGTGAAATGGAGATTTTTTTAATCTGAATAGAAGCATTTTGAGCTGAATAACAGCGTTGAACAGTGGTGTGTTTACAGTAAATGTGTTTGATTTTGCTGCTTACTCAATAATTCACTTGTTTTTCTCTCTCTCTCTCTCTGTGTTTAAGCCGTATCAGAGTTGGTCAACAGTGCGAAGGGAAAGGGAAAGCTTCAGGGTAAGCCTTTAGATCACTCATTTACATAAACAAATATATATATAAGCAAAATCATTTAATTAAAATAACAATAAACAGCTCTAGGAGAGATTTAAGACGCACAGAAGGATGGACATATATGTGTCCATGTGCGTGGATGGATGGATGGATAGATAGATAGATAGATAGATAGATAGATAGATAGATAGATAGATAGATAGATAGATAGATAGATTGATTGATTGATTGATTGATTGATTGATTGATTGATTATATTTATGGTTGGTTGTCTCCCCCTTGTGTTTGTAAGAGGTTACTGAGAATGCCCTTAGGTAGTGATGTGTCGGATATGGAAGTGGTTGTGTTGTGTTGGTTGGTAAAATAAAGACAGCTATACCGCAGTTCCACAAAGAAGTATCTATTTATTCAAACACATCTACAGATAAGAAGATAGATACAGACTCTATCTTTCTATTTCAATAAAAATATATATTTTAATAAAATTCTGAAATGAAATATAAATAATTAAAGACACTGATAAAAATAACACCACTGTACTACTGAACTGCGAGGTGTCAGCAGGTTCATTTCAAATATGTGTTTAACCTGAAGTCTGATGTGTGTGTGTGTGTGTGCGTGTGTGCGTGTGTGTGTGTGTGTGTGTGTGTGTGTGTGTGTGTGTGTGTGTGTGTGTGACTGTTGTTGTCCAGAATGGAGGAGCTCAGCTGACCAGAGGGTACAGTGTGAGCCGAGTAGACCGAAACCTGGCAGAGCACATCGAGAGGGTGAGGAAAACACACACACACACACACATGCATGCATGCACGCACGCACGCACACACACACACACACACACACACACACACACACACACACACTTGCACACACACTGTCACATGCATGCACGCACACACACAAACACTCTTGCTCATGCATGCACACACATATACTCAAACACTCTTGTTTACGCATGCATGCACACACACAAACACTCTTGCTCATGCATGCACACACATATACTGAAACACTCTTGTTTACGCATGCATGCACACACACACACACAGTATATGATTTATCATATATCATATTTATCATATCCTAATCATGAAATATACTGAGATGCACAATAAACAGAAATATGCAGGACAGTTATTGTCTATACTAGTTTAATAAGTACACTCATTTAAACAATGTACTTAAACATACAAACCAACAAACACTTCATGCATGATTTTCACACACTTTCTTCAACTGCACTGGCGCCATCTGCCTGATACATCTAGAACTGCACAATGTAAATCTATTACACAGACCTGTAGTTCATCTAAACACCACAAGGTGGCATTAATAGCTTAGAAAACACAGAACAAAAGATAAATCAATCACACTGTATAGACCAGGGGTGTCCACACTCAGTCCTGGAGGGCCGGTGTCCTGCAAAGTTTAGTTCCAGCCAGGGGCGTTGCTAGGGTTGAAAGGCATAAGGGGCTTAGCCACAAAGAAGTGGATAGATAGATCAGGGGTTCCCAAACTTTTCAGCCTGTGACCCCCAAAATAACAATTTTATTTTGTTAATGTAAATTTTTCACCATTTTTCAAGGTGGTTATACTGTAAATATGTAAAGTTGCAGACAAAACTATAGACATATATGAACATGAGCACAGTCACAACACAAATGCAACAGTCTATTAACCATATAATATTTTTTTAATAGTCATTTATTCATTTTTATCACTTTTATAAAAATTACCAATATAAAAATTAAAGGCTGATGGCTGATTTTTTTTCGTATGTTGTTGTTTCTTTAATGCAACTATTAACTATCTTCTCTGGGTTATGAATAAAACAAGGTCATTCAAATAGTTTAATAAAATTTGTTTGAGTTTGGAAATCACCAAGCGACCCCTTGTCATTGTCCCGCGACCCCCCAGGGGGTCCCGACCCCTACTTTGAGAACCTTGATAGATAGATAGATAGATAGATAGATAGATAGATAGATAGATAGATAGATAGATAGATAGATAGATAGATAGATTCATGGATAGATGGATGGATGGATGGGTACTTGACGTTGGTCTCATGGGTCCGCCATTTTTGTAGTTTGTTTACACTTTTTTACCCAAGTTTGTAGTTCTAATCGAATTCATGTCCAACTTGGAACAAAATCAAGTCCGTTTTTCCTTAAAACAAGTCGAATAATCTGCCAATGGGGTGAGCAAAATAATCTAATGTCAAAAGAAAAACAAAATTATCTAATTTACGCCAATAGCAGATTATTTTGATTGTTTTAACCAAAAACTTACTTTAATTTTGCCTCATTATTTCTCAAATCAACACTATATGTTTTACTCGCCTAAAAATGCATCTTGATCTAAGAACTTTTCAACGTTTGGACTGAAAACAAGACCAAAAATCGAACTAAAAGCGCCTTTGCATGGTGTATTATTAATAAAGTGTGTTGCTGTTCTGCAGAAGATCAGCGGGTTCCCGGAGGAACAGAGGGATTATCCGGTGTATTCCCCGTATCAGTATGAGTATGAGGGTAGAGGCAGCGACTGTCAGTCTCTGGATCAGCTGAGCGTCAGTAATCTGGGAGATAACCTGGACTTTCTGCAACACCTCGGCCCAAAGTTCAACAATCTGGGCAAAATCTGCCAGCAGCCCGTCAACCACAGAAACACCCAGCTCTAAATCACACAAGACAACCCGAGCAACTCCATATTTCTATAACGCTTCATCTGCAGACGGGTTCCGGGGTTTCATTTTTACTTTTTGGAGACGATTTGGATTCAGTGTGCCTCTTGTGTCTTTTTGGAGACGATTTGGATTAAATGTGCCTTCATTAGAGTCAAAACAGGCAGGTGATTGTGGAGATAAGCTGTGAACTTTGCATTGTCAGTGGCAATTTTGGCCTGGAGGAATTATTGGATACACTTTTTATTGCTTATGAATGTATCGGGAAGCATGTCGGTGCTCGGATGAACTACATGTGCCAGCTTGCCTGAAATGATCAGAGGTGTTTTTTAGCCAAGGATGTTAAGATCTTCTTCTTCTTTTCTCACGGATGAACTGAGGAGCCGCTGTTCTGCCTTTAGGTACTGTTTTTGTGCACTTTTGCTGGGATGGCTGTCTTTGCACTGCTGGATCACTTGTCTGTGTGTGTGTGTGTGTGTGTGTGTTTGTGTTTAGCCAAAAATGACAGCTCCACCACTCACCTTTAAGCATCACTGGGACGCTTTTCAGTCATTGGGGTAGAGATGGTTTTATGTTTGCACATTCACACCTTCAGCTTCTTAATATAATGTCAGAAAAGTATTGTTTGCTAATCCTAAATAGTGAAATATGATCAGCCAATGACTGTCAGAGTACGAATATTGTTGACAGTGAGTTAAATAGTGCTGCTGGTATTTTGAAGTCATGCTTGCATGCATTTTCAGACATGATGTGCAAGAGTTTGGCAAGAGTTTGGCATGCTGTCCCGGGAGAAAGCACTGAGCTCAAGGGATCCTCGGGCTCAGGGCTCCCACCTTTCGCAGGGCGAGGGGAGATTGAGCTCAGGTCGATCTCAAACTCCCCTGTTGCTGAGGCCAAGGTGAACGTCCCGATTGTAAGACATTATAAAAAAGATTTAGGCTTGTTTTATCTATAATATAGAGCATATTTAGAAGGTGGAAGGAAACTGGGGAACTTGTGGGAAACCCACACGGACACAGGGAGAACATGCAAACTCCAGAAATACCAGATGACCCAGTGAGGACCCAACGCCATTGGTATTCTCGCTGTGAGGCAACAGTGCTAGTCACTGGGCTGCCATGCACCCCTTCTGGATAAAGGGGGGAGGAGGGGGTTTCTTCCAGACGAAGATAGTTGTAGAAGGAAATGAGGATATATATAGAACTTTAGGATCCTTTGATTGGAAGATTGTGATTAGCTAATGTGGGCCAGCTGGGTCAATCATGAGCGCGTGCTCCTCTCGAAATTAGCTTTACAATGTGGTGTAACAATATTGGGAGTATGTCACAAGTTGTGCTCATAACAGTACATCGTTATCGTTCATCTGTACTCGCCTTTTAAATTCTGCTTGATTATTTTATTGAATGCCAAAGTCTAAATGTGCGAATATCAAACTTTTTTTTACCTCAATTATTCGCTGGTGCATTAAAATGCATGCCAATGTGATCGTGCACATCAAAGTGTGATCGTGCACATCAAAGTGTGATCGTGCACATCAAAGTGTGATCGTGCAAATCAAAGTGTGATCGTGCACATCAAAGTGTGATCGTGCACACCAAAGCACACGCCAGGTGTAAAGTCGTCGTGTAAAAACAAAAAGTCTCAAGTTCGGGTTTTTGCTTTAATGTATTGTGTTAATAACCTCTCCACCAATCAGGGGTGCGTTTCCCAAACATCGACGTAACTCGCGGCTGAACTATCATAGTATGATGCATCGTTTGGGAAAAGAACGATGTAGTGACGAGTGTTTCCCAAAACGCATAGTTTCTCTTGCAGATCCATCGCTTGAACCACGTTAGTTATAACGTAAAACGCCGATAACGACGCTCTAAACTGAGTGGAGGAACTACTTCTGTAGAGAAGAACAGCATCATTTCTTTGTGCAAATTTTACACGCACACTCATTTAAAAATAATCCAATAATAGTTTTGGCAAAAACATATATGAACGAATCATATAAGACCTGTGTTTCCTTTACTAATATTATTGAGAATATTCCGTATTTATAATATACATGAGCAATATAGCGATATGGCTGTATATCGGCACTGGAGAGAGGCGTGCGATGGCACGAGGCCACCAGTGCTGATATACAGCCATATCGCACAGCTCCTCATGTGATTTTGCATTTTTACAACAGTTTGACGGCATAATTGTGTATATAAAAACAAAATTAAAACACAGAGAGTCTCAAAAACCCTTTTGTATGAGGAACTACTTTCTTCCACGTTGGATTCAAATCATAATCTGACAGTTAAACAGTTGAGCGAGCATCTTTTAAACTGTAGATCTGTAGTGTCTGCTTTTTGCTGGCTGTATGTGGGCGGAGTAATACACAAAGGGTAAAGAGGCTGTAGAAGTTCTGATATTGCAGAATATTGCACGGCTATCAGCCAATCAGATTTGAGAACCAGACAGAACTGTTGTATATATATATATATATATATATATATATATATATATATATATATATATATATATATATATATATATTGAAGAGCAGTGACATCCATGTAGACAACTAAAACAGACTGTGATAATCCACAGAAGAAGACGAAAAAAACAAACAATTACTGAAATCAATGAGAGTGAGTAAACGATGAGGGAACTTTCATTTCTGGAGGGAAAAAGGACAAAGAGCAAGCAAAAATGAGGGAAATCATTTCAGCAGTATCTGAGAGTCCGCCAGGGGGCGGTAGTGCACCACACATGATTATTATTTTTTACATTCTTCTTCCATATTTGTGCTTTCTTTCGCATTAAAGTGCCTTTCTTCAGGGTTTTTTTTTTTTTTTTTTTTTTTAAAGGAATGTAGGGAGGCTTCATGAAGAGTGGCTACAGTTAGCTATATTTTGGGTTTATGCATATTTAGTGCTCATGTTATTGTAAACATTTGATGATACATTTTAAAATCAGCCATTGTGCTGGATTGGGGTTGGATTTCGCTGTCTGAAATACTCAGCTTTTTTAAGGAGCATCTCTACTTTTTTTACTGCAAGATGTAAACTTAAACTTACAATAACATTGGTGATTTCTATGGCTACTGTTAATGAAAATACTGTTAAAATAATAATGCATTTGTTCAGTGTTTTTCATGTCCATATCAAATAAATCCCATGCTACAAATTCAATCAATAATTGAACTTGAATAATAAAGGTTGGAAAAGTTTTTGTCAAAGTTGAGTGTTTCAGTAGATGAAGTTGCTGTATGCGATGTCAGATTTGCCTTTGAAAGAAATGAAAGCCGGTTTCCACATTTCTTGTTTTGTTGCGTGATGCAACCCTGACTTACTGTAAGTAAGATGAGCTAACTCTGATACTACAGATTATATAAACTCTGAATGACACAGTTCTGGACTTTGCAAGCAAGTCACTAATTCAGGAGGAAATAAAATGTTCAGGTGTTTCAGGAACACCGACTGAGCCAATCAGCTCTTTAAAGCAGATCCAATCAGGTAAGCAAAATAATCATGTGTTCACTTTGACATATTCATTCATTCATTGGGCTTAGTCATTATTTTAGGGGTCACCACAGCAGAATGAACCGCCGATCATTCCAGCATATGTTTCACACAGCCCTTCCAGCAACAACCCAATACTAGGACACACCCATACACATTCATCCACACACACTCATACACTAAGGCCAATATAGTTCATCAGTTCCTCTATTGCACGTGTGTTTTGATTGTAAGGGAAACCGGAGCACTCGGAGGAAATCCGAGAACATGCAAACTCCACACAGAAATGCCAGCTGACCTCGAACCTGTGGCCTACTTGCTGTGAGCCACAGTGGTGCCCATGCGATCCTTAATATAATAGCCAGAAATCACTTTTATAAGATAAGAACCATGCTTGTTCCAATGCAATCTCAAGGCAATTCGTAACTTGTTGATTTAGTGGCTAATTCGTATAAATTCGTACGATCTAATTCCTACAATTTAGTACAATTTGAACATTATCCAATGACGGTTGGGTTTAGGGGTGGGGTTGGGTGCCACGCCTCCTTTTTAAAATCGTACAATCGTACAGGAATTCGTACGATTTAGCCACTAAACTGACACAACGTAAAACACTTACAATCCTCGTGAGATCAGGCTGGCTTGTTCTTTATGCGAGGGTGTTCGAATAATCTAATTATTGTGCATTTGTGTTTTAACAAGCTGCTCAACACTAGTGCCAAACTCCTGTCGTCGTGTTTGCATTGCTTTGATTGAACGTTTGAAAGGACGATAAGTGTGTAAGTAGGAGACGCTGATAGACTGGTTCTGTTTTCGTCTTTTGTTCTGATCTGTTTTTAACCCTTTAGTCATAGCAACCATGTGAACATATTGTGTTAAATGAAAATGCCAGCTCAGATAAAACACTGGTTACACAGAAATCTTTTCATCAGGCATGACTTTGTGCAAATGATTAATAAGAATGTGATTGTGGTGACACTGCCCGTGTGTTTAGGGACTAGCATCAGTTTCTGCTTATTAGTTTGATAATTATTAGAGCAATTAAAGTAACCATTTGAGTATTGGTGTTTCCTGAAAACAACACTGCAAATGAATACTTTTCTCACATCCCCAAATCAGAAAAGGTTGGGACAGTATGGAAAACACAAATAAAAATACGATATCCAAATTGATTTTGACTTGTGTTTCATTGCAGATATATTCATTCATTCGTTATCTTTTCGTCTTAGTCCCTTTATTACACTGAGGTCGCCACAGTGGAATGAACGTTTTCATGCAGCGGATGCCCTTCCAGCCACTCTGGGAAAGCAGACAATATAACAAACATTATTTAATGTGTTCCTTGTGATTTATATTGTTAGTTTTTAAATAAACACTGTATTTCTGTTTTGGTTCAGTAAAGCATTTCTTACTTTGTTAAAGACGATTAAGGACTGAAGAGACCAAGTGTTTTAGGTGTCATTTTCTTTCATTCTTCCTGCAAGCCTTAAGGTGGGCAACAGTTCGGGGTCTTCATTGTCTCATTTTGTGTTTCATAGTGTGCCACAGATTCTCTATTGGAGACAGGTCAGGACTGCAGGCAGGCCAGTCCAGTACCTGTATCCACTTACTTGGACTTTGTAATGTGTCAAAAAATACCTGAAATACTGATTGATCAGAGCACAGTACACATTTCCACTGTGTGATGGTCCATACCAGACGCCTCCGAGCCCAGAGAAGTCGACAGCACTTCTGGACACTGTTAACATAGGGCTTCCTTTTGGCACAGTACAGTTTAAAGTGGCATTTGTTAATGTAACTTTGTATTGTGGTACTTGACAAAGGTTTGCAGCTGTAGTCCTGAGCCCATGTGGTGATATGGTTGAGGATTCTTAACACAGCGCTGCTTGAGGGATCGGAGGTCACGGTTGTTCAGCTTAGGCTTGCGCTCTTGTCCTTTACACACTGAAATTCCTCCAGATTCCTTCAGTCTTTAATGATGTTCTGCACTGTTAAAGGTGAAATATCCAAATGTCTTCCACTCTTTCTCTGAGGAACATTGTTTAAACTTTGTAATCATTTTCTCATGTATTTGTTGGTAAATTGGCGATCCTCGACCCATCTTTGCTCCTAAAGGACAAGACCTACTGATGCTGCTTTTGTATTAAATCACCTGTTGACATCACATCAAATCACATCATTTCACCAGTTTACCTGATTACCAGCCCTGAGCTGCTCTTGTCACAACTTTTTTTGAAATGTATTACAGCTCTAAATGACAGGGAAGGATGTATGTTTACAATTGAAAATAAAAAAAATACAAAATACAAAATGAAATATTTTGTGTTTTGTTTTTGTTTTCAGCACATTTCTATTCATAATAGTTTTAATAACTCATTTCTAATAACTGATTTCTTTTATCTTTGCCATGATTACAGTGTAAAATATTTCTTTTATCATTTGGGAAATATTTGATAAAAAAAAAAAAAAAAATTCACCGCAGGGTGAACATTTCTTCAACTTCAGCTAGGTAAGGCTCGGTCTCCTTTATTCTATCACCTTTAATATGTATTTCTTCATAAGCAGCCCTTCCCTCTGCTGCTAAAAATCGCATCATTTCCTTCAACACTCTCGGTTGGCATTTTAGTCAGTCATAACGTTAATAACACCCACGGAAAAATGACGGATCTTCTGCAGAAAATGCAAATTAATTCCAATGGACTGATTCATCAATACAAAACTTCTGTACAAATAATACTAAAGGCATTATGCCAGCTTAAACAAAACAATTCAACAACTAGCTTTGGTAACACTTTATTTTGATGGTCCATTAATAGACTATCTGTTTAATATCTGTTGATACCGCTCAACTGATACTGTACATCCAAGCAGCTACTATACATGTCCACTTACACGAATCCTAACCCCAATCCCAACCTAACAGCCTACTAATAATCTAATGAGATATAGTCAACACATGCTCATTCTGAAAACGGAGTTGCGTGGACGTTTCTGGAGGCCGCGAATTATGTAGCCGGAGGTATGACTGCATTTGATTTTTTTTAAGTGAATGTGATGCCGTTCCTTTTCGCGCTGACCAGCTGACCGCTTACATCCGTGAGGAGGGCTTTCCCGCCGCAACCAGTTTGACCA